ACTTGTGGGGAAGGTTGGTTTGGTTCCCCAAAGTTTTTGGAGTGAATTGGAACACTTAATTATTTTCTTAAAAGCTTAAACTGTAAGAACCAAGGTTTGACTTTGTGTAAACAATCTCGGATTGGTTATTTGAGGGTTCCAATAGGTTTGTATAATTGTTTTGGACTTTTATGTATGTTCGGAATCATACTTGGAGGTACCTAGGATGTTTTGGTGCTATTTGCCAAAAGTTAGCAGTTTGACGGTTTGGAGAGTTCCTAAGTTTGACCACGAGTTGACTTTGATGATATCGGATTTGAATTGTTGTTTCAGAGGTTGAATAGGTTCGATTTGTCATTTGGGACTTGTGTGCAAAGTTTGGATAAAATCCGGATTGGTTAGGCTTGAATCAGACGCATGGTTGGAAATTTGGAATTTGATGAATAAAATAGAAGCTTAACTTGTGTTTTGATCATCGATTCATGATTTTGATGTTTGTCGTAGAGTTTTGAGCATTCGGACAAGTTTGAATAAGGTGTTGGGACTTGTTGGTATGATTGGATGGAGTTCTGTGGGACTCGGGTATGTTTCCGGGTAGTTTCAAATCATTTCTTCTTTATTTTGAATTGCTGATTTTCTGATGTTTTGCAATGCTACTCGCGATCGCGAAGAAGGGGGAGCTGGCTGAAGGATTTTCCTCGTCACGTTTGGGTTGGTAGTATCGCTTTCGCATAGATATAGGAGCAAAAGCATCGCGTTCGTGTGCCCGGGCCGCGTTCGCGAAGGTGTGGTGCCAGGAAAATGGATGGCCTTCGCGTTCGGGTAGTCTTAGCGGGTCTGCGAAGCGCGTTTGTGATGGGGTCTTCGCGTTCGTGAAGTAAGGCATCGATTGGGCATGATTTGGCCTTCGCGATCGCGATGGATGTTCCACAATCGTGATGTGTATAACCGAGCAGATCATTTAAGATTTTTATTTTAGGATTTTAGCCCATTCTTCCATATTTTAAACCCTAGACTTGGGAGAGGCGATTTTGGTTTGGATATTTTCAGACAAGACTTTGGGTTACATAATTTCTACACACTTTTTATGTTATTTCAAAAATCTACATGGATTATTAACACCCAAAATATAGAATTTTGTGGGGGATTTGGGATTTTTTCCTACAACTTAATAAGGTGTATTTTGGGGTTTTGAAGGTCGATTGGACTTGATTTTGCAATCTAATCACATATTTGGACTCGTGGGGTTAAGATTAGTCGAGATATACTCCTTGACTCGAATTTTGATCGTGTGTTCCCGGGTTGTCTTTTGTTGACTTTTGAAAATTTGATTAAAGATCGAAGCTTTATTGTTTGGGGCTATTTCCTTGGCTTTTTTTTACGTTAGTGAGTTATTTTTGGCTAGATTCGAGCCGTTCGGAGGTCGATTCACGTGGCAAGGCCTTTTTAGAGTATTGAATTGTCTCGTTTGAGATAAGTATCTTGCCTAGGATTGGCTTGAGGGACTAGTTGCTTGAATTGTTGATGTTATATACGTGTTAGGGGTGATGTACATGTGAGGGGTCGAATACATGTGCGTGCACCAAATTTATCCATACTCGGGGGTAGTCTTTAGGCTATATTGTTCCTTGTTTTGAATATTTTTGATCATTTCTATCATGCTTTATATGTTGTACGACGACGTGATTTCGTGAATTATGTTAGAGATTATGTGTAGGCTTATTTTTCCTATTTTGAACATGATGCTCGTTGTTGTGTGGCATATCTGCCATAATTTGATCCATCATTCTAGGGTCGTCCTCTCATGTTTCTCCTTGATGACGTACACGCAGTTATCAAAAACTGATCAGTGTTAGAGTTTTGTGTATCTTCTCTATATGCAAATTCCTTGGATGTATACATGATTTTACTATATATCTCCTATATATGCTAGCTCCGTACTTGTATAAATGTCTTTTTATGCATATCTTCTCTATATGCCGCTTCTGTTGAAAAAACGATACACATTACATATCTTTTCTATATATATCTCTCTGTGTAATTTTGACTTGTCTATTTGTGTATATCTCCTTTATATGCTGAACTATTGTGTTGTTTGATGTTTGTGCATATCTTCTCTATGTGCATTATTGGCTTTATCTGCAATCATGCATAGATTCTGGTATTGTTACTGCGTATTCGTATGTATTTCATGAGTTGTACAGATTTATCACGTCATTATCATTGGGTGATTCTTGCCATTACCTCTCCGAGGTTAGTCATGATACTTACGAAGTATATGGGTTCGATTGTACTCATACCGCACTTTGCACTTAATTGTGCATATCCATGTTTGGGACCTAGCTGAGAGCTATGAATGATCATTGTTGAGTAGTGGAGAGACGCGGTAGATCTGCATTCCGATTGCAGTCCATGTTGTCTTTTTCCATTTTTATTATTGTTGTTGTTTAGACAAGAGTGGGTTGCTCTATCGGTAACAGCCTCTCTACCCCAGGGTAGGGGTAAGGTCTGCGTACACACTACCCTCCCCAGACCCCACTAGTGAAATTATACTGGATTGTTGTTGTTGTTGTTTAGACAAGAGTGGGTTGCTCTATCGGTAACAGCCTCTCTACCCCAGGGTAGGGGTAAGGTCTGCGTACACACTACCCTCCCCAGACCCCACTAGTGAAATTATACTGGATTGTTGTTGTTGTTGTTTAGACAGTAGTACACATTATCAGACTTGTACTCTTGTCGTAGAGCTCATGACTCTATATTACTAGTTCTTGGGGATTTATGTATTGGTGCATTCTTTATTTATGATATTTGACTCTTAGATATAAATAACTTGTACTTTGTTATCATAGTTGATTATTAATTTATGATTGCCTTGTCTAGCAAGTGGGTTAGGCGTCATCACGACCAGTGGAGTTTATAGTCGTGATACCAGTAAGCTTCAATTTGATATAGTATATTTTGCGCTCGTCACTCCCACGCGATCGCTATTCACAAATTCCCTCCAATACATTTTATACTTCGCAATCACAAGATTCACTCCGCGATCGCGATTCACTGAACTGCTACTAAAATTCTATTGCTGCCACGCACCCAAAAATGTTCTGAAACCACCCCGAAACTCAGTCGAGCTCCCAGAACCCCTTCAAACCATGCCAACTAGTCCATATACCCTATACAAACTTATCCAAAGGCTCAAAACACATATGATAACATCAGAACTAAGAATCAGTGTCAAACTAAACTATGAATTCTCTTTAGTTATTCAATTCTAACTTTCACAAGACACATCCAAATCGCTCCCAAGCCCCTTGGGTACTAACCAGAACATACATACAAATCCAAAACATCATATGGACCTATCGAAACCTTCAAAACACCAAATCGAGCTTGTTACCCAAAATGTTGACTTTGGTCAACTTTCTTAACTTAAGGGTTATAATTATGAACTAAGTGATCCAAGTTATTTCCGAATCTCTTAGGACCAGAACAATCTATAATCATACGTCATAAATTATCAAATAAACCTATGAGAAGTCGCGAAATCACATAACACAATGCTATAACTGAAAATGAATAATTGATCGTTACAATTTTTCAAGGGAAGTGTAGGAGCACAGAGTTGAGTATAATGACCATTATCCAAGAGATTTTCTATGGGGAAATTTGTAGAGCCTTAGATAGTGATGAAGTTGAAATCCCTAAGATTTTATCATGTGGTAGCCAAGGGCAAGAGTCTAGGGAGTTCTAAGGCTGTCCAACGGGACGGGCCGTCCCGCCCCGACCCGTCCTGTCCCGGTCCCATCCTGTGCCTGTCCCGTCCCGCCTCCCGTCCCATCTCGGTCCACTTAATTCTAAACGGGATGGGCCCATGTTAAATGGGATACGGAATGGGACGGGATGGCCATTTCGTCTCGTTTATCCCGTCCCGCTTGTCCCTCATCCTTTTTTATTTATTATTTTTGAATTATAGCCGTTGGAAAACGACTTCAATTGCAAAAATAGCCGTTTCCAATGGCCAAAAAGGGCCATATTTTCCCTCCCACCTCCCAAAACACCCCTACCCCAAACTTTTAATATAACCCCTAAGTTTATTAAATTATACTTTGGCCCTATTTTCTATTATAAATACCCCATCCTTCTTCATTTTTCCTACAAAAATCAATCATTTTCTCTCAAATCTCTTACATTCTATCTATATTATTCTCTCAATTTTTTCACAATCAAGTGATAAGTTTCAAGTATTTGGGATTGGCTACTAAGAGGCCTAGTTCAAACAGAACCCTTCCTAGAAGGTGGCTCGTAGATTAGGTGCTCTTCAAAAGAATTATATTTGTATGTGAGATTTGAAAGTTCTATTAATAAAATAAAAGGCTATAAACGTTGAATTCTTTTTATGAATTATCAGACACTCTTACTTAGTTACTTAATGGCTTAAACTTATGTTAAATAAATTATAACTGTATTATAAATGTATAATTACTAGAATATTTCATTACAAGTTTTTTATTTTAATATTTTATAATTCTTTACTTAGTTTCCTAATTTCCGTTTAACTTTTAAATGTATTAAATAAGTCAAAAAACTAGACGTTGCAAATTTTAAAAACTTAGTCATTGTCAAAAAAAATAGTCGTTGCCAAACTTAATGCTTAAATATATATATTTTTTAAAACGACACTTAAGGCCGCGAACCCGTCCCGTCCCATTCCGTTTGTTAGCGGGATGGGATGGGCCTACCGTTTGGTCCCGTTTATCCCGTCCCGTTTCGTCCCGTCCCGCCACCGTCCCGGCTAAATGTCCTCCCGTCCCGTTAATTTTGTCCCGTCCCGTTGGACAGTCATATGGAGTTCTATTCTACTGAAACTGTATGTTGCAGTTGTGTAGTTTTTTTTCGATGTAATTCTTCCAGTTTGGTTAATAAATTTGCTTATTTACCCAAAAAAAAAAAAAAAATCAAAATTAGGCAATATTTTCCGTTTGAAAAAAAGGAAAAAGAAAACGAAGAAAAAAAAAAGGAAGATGAGAAAGCGTAGGGGATTGTCATAATATAGTTAATTATATTCTGGTAATATGCCTTAATCTGCCAGAGCAACAAACTGAGATCTTAACATCAAAAACGCAAAGCAAGAAAAAGATTTTAAAACCAAGAAATATTCTTTCATTCCTATTCCCTATTGATCCACGAAACAGAAAAATTACGGGAGCAGAGATGTGGGAATCAATCTGCCTAACGGTAGCGGCGACGGCTGGTAACAATATCGGCAAGGTTCTTCAGAAGAAGGGCACTCTCATTCTCCCTCCTTTATCTTTCAAGCTCAAGGTATATTCAAAACTGGTAAACTTGCCCCTTGTAAATTTTGGGTTTTGTTTATTTTTGGAGTTTTGATTCAATTCTTGTTTCTGTTTCTTTGTTGAGAAAGTTGATTTTCTTGCATTTCTTGGAAAGATTGATTCTTCTGAAGGATTTGGTTTATGGGTGACTGGTTATGTTATCATTCATATATACTCTTATAATTATGTGCATTGAAATGTGGTTCAAATGTCTGCTGATGATTTTGTTATGATATTCTTCTGGGGACTCTTTTATTTATTTATTTAAAAGTTTAAAGATTTGTGTAACTGCAAAAAATGTAAATAATCTAACACCAGAGGAGGCCTAATATATGTTTAAAGATAAATATTGGATACTGGTATGTAAAGGATCCAAATAAAGATGAATCGACATATAGGATTCATGTCGCTGACCTCAACTAATTTGGAATTGAAGCATAGTTTTTGGTGTTGTGGTGCTGGAATGTCGTTTATATGATCGCTATTTGTCACATGGGTTTTATGTTCTTATGTTTGTATTGGATATTTAGAACACATTAATAAGCATTGAATTCAATCATCTAGCTTTCTTTTAATATGAGTGCTAGTAAACAACTGCGTGCAATGAGTTTTTCGGTAGTCTTTTTAAGTTGCTAAAGCTTTTGCCTAGTTTGTTGTCAAAATGTAACACAGAACAGTACTTACACTTCTTTGAAAGACATAAAACTTAATTTCAGAAAACTACCACCTACTTGGCTATTTGATGATGGAATCGATTTACATTGAGGAACTTCCTTACATAAGTTGGTCATGAGAAGTCTTGAATCTTGAATATCATTGAAAAGAAACTCTTGCTAAACCGTACAATTAGCGATTTCAAAAGCTCACTTGAGGCTGACTTAAACCATTTAGCTAGGTGCAATACCTCATTGCCCATTCGGGCTGTATTGAAGGGGTTGTCACTAAACAATTTATATAGTTAGCGAAGTAATATATCACTTCATGAATGAATATATCAGTGGTCATGAATATGGTGAAGAATACCTTTCTGGGTCATGCTTTATGCAGCTATCATCTCTTTATCAATCAATAGCTTGTTTAGATTATAGTAGAAATCGTGAAAAAAAAGAGAAAGAAGATATTTGGAGAATGAATTGGGTTGATTATTCCCTCAAGTATGCTGGAGTTAAATAATGTTTGCAAGTAATCCAAAAATGGAAAGGAAAATAATTCTTATTCCTATTCACACAATCACATTCTACCCTCCCCAGACCCCACTAGTGGGAATTCACTGGGTTGTTATTGTTGCTATTCACACAATCACATTCTAAATACAACAACAACAAAAAACCCGGTGACATGAATTCTACTCCCTCCGTTTCAATTTAGATTATACACTTTCCTTATTAGTCCGTTCCAAAAAGAATGACACATTTCTATAATTGGAAATAATTCAACGTTAAACTTTCCATTTTACCCTTAATTAGAAACTTTTATAACCACACAAATGTCATGTCTCCACAAAGCTTTTACCCCTTAAGCTTTTAAGACTACAAGTTTCAAAAGTCTCCCTCTTTTCTCTTAAACTCCGTGCCGAGTCAAACTGCCTCATCTAAATTGAAACGGAGGGAGTATATCTTTTCCATATTTACAAAGGATTAGATATTTGCAGTATTTACAATTTCCTAACAATATTCTTAACAGGAATATTTTTTGTTTATAAATCGAGCGGAAAGTTTCTAGCATCTGGATGTAGCCAATGTCATTTTTACAGTATTCTATTTGTTTTCCATTTCTTTTGGCGACACTGGCCATGCATGATGCAAATTGAATCTAGAATTATACGTAAACAATTAGTTAATCAAATGTCTTTGATTGAATGGTAATTATGAATACACAAAAGGAGCATCTTTAATTGAATGATTATTGAGTGCGAATGCCGAATATTGCAGTAACTGTAAATGTTCGTATGGTGGGCTTTCTCTAGTATTGTGCGGGCTTCATCTCTTTTTTGCCTTCTATGTTCTTTGTTAAATCATGTTGGCCTCCCAACAGCTATCCTGCTTACGTTAAAATTTAAGAACTCGTACATTTCTTCTGTGAAACACGAGCAACTTGGAAAGCTTCATCATCTGTGTCTACAGGTGATAAAAGCTTATGCTTTCAACAAGGCATGGATCATTGGTTTACTTATGGATTTGTTTGGAGCAGTCTTGATGTTGCGAGCACTATCTCTTGCCCCAGTAAGTGCATTTCGAGCAAGCTTTCTCTTATGCATGTTGTGTGTATCGGACTTTATAGATTGAAAATCAATCTATTATCAGGGAAAACCCTAAATATAATGTTTCTATTATATATTGATAGCCACGCGAATCCTTCATACTTTCTGTTTGAATGCTGTACTCCAGGTATCGGTCATTCAACCAGTTTCTGGCTGTGGACTTGCTATACTTTCAGTCTTTTCCCATTTTTATCTAAAGGAGATCATGAATGTTATTGATTGGATAGGAATTACCTTGGCGGGCATTGGCACCATAGGTAATGTAAGTTCCTTAATGCTTTGCATTATTCGTTAAAAGAACTAATAAGGCTATGGAAAACAAAGACACAGCTCATTTTCCTCTGAATTGCTAAGCAAGGTTTCACTGGATAAATGGCCTTATGCGTACAGGGTGAAATATGTATCTATTTACAGTTACTACTTTGTAAACTAGTTATTGTTCCACGGGGAGGAAGTAGTTGCAAGAGGGTGGTACAGCCACGCACCGGGTTTAAAATATCAGATCCGTCAGTTTATCTTAGTTGGAGTGGGAGTGTCGGTTATCCGTCCGCTTTGTTTCTACTTATAAAACAATATTTGGTATCTAAAATCTATTAGTGCTGTTAGTATTAAGATTTCGAAAATTTGGCCGCTATTCTGATTGATCTACACCTTTTGTTCAAGCACCAATGCAGTAAATCTGTCTTATGTTTGGCTGACGTGTAATTTAACTTAGGAACCTCAGAGTAAAGCAAAGAGATTGAAATCTATTTACTGAAATGTTTCACTACGATATGAATTTCTGAAAAAAGTTTACTTATCACTTCTCTGTTCTCTGTTCAGCTGTTGGTGCCGGAGGGGAGGAACAGCAGGCTTCGGCTATCTCAATTTTTCATCTACCATGGCTGGCATGTGCTGTTGCAATCTTGTTTGTAGGTATCTTATTCTATGCACAATACAAGCACACTTTAAGTTATTCACTTGAGAAGGTCTCTTTTGGTACTATATTATTTTAAGTATAGAGCGATTATGCTGAATTCTTTTTGTATATTGGTTGGTATATTAATTATTTTAGAGAAAACGCTTCTGTCCGACTTATAGTACTAATCCTATCAACGCTCTTTTTTTCTCCCTTAACCAAGAAAACTTGCACTAAGTTGGCACCTATAAAAAAAAGGTCGAATAGATGGGAAAGGGAGGAAGAATCACTGATAGCATTTTGCAGCGGCTTCTTTCAGATAGATATGCAAGTAGTTTGGCATGAAACTTTTTGTCATGAAAAGCTTGTTTAGTCAAGTCTCCACGTGTCAAATGTCAGGCTCCATGTGATTGCTAAAAAAGGCAAGAGTGATTGATTTATTTGATGAAGTTGAACATCTTCAAGCATTCCATAACACCATAATCACCACTTCCTTCTAAGGGTGGCAAGTGGGCCGGTCCGGGACCGGGACCGCGGTTCAAACGGGCCAAACGGGCTAAGTGGGCCGGGACCGGTATATGTGGGCCTGGGCCGGTTCTTGGCTTTGGAATTTTTTTTAAAAAAAAAAACTAGCCGTTTGGAAAATTTTAAAAACAGCCGTTGGGCTGTCAAAAATAGCCGTTGGCTATTTAGAAAATAGCCATTTAACCCCCCAACTTTGTTTTAATCCCAAACTTTTTATAATTACACTTTTTTCCTATTTTCAATTATAAATACCCCCTCATTCTTTCATTTTTCTTACAAAATCAATATCAGTCTATCACAATCTCTCTCTAATTTTCTCCTATAATTGCTACTATTGCTTACTTTATTCCAAAAAATAGTTCAAAAATATTGAGGTTACAATTTGTGAAAAAATTGTGAAGTTGGTGAATTGAAGTATTCAAGTCTTCAACGATAATCAATTTTCAACAAGTTGTTCGTCAATTCGGTAAACTCGTTCCAACTCTTAAGTCTTAATATTATAGTTTTTGTTTGTTTTATTTATTTGCTATTACTTGATTAATTAAGATGGCTTCCTTAAAAAATTAGTTTTCCAAAAATAAGAATAAGGGAAAATTCAAGAGTGGTGAATCTAGTGGTCATGCTGTTCCACCTCCCCTGGCCCCGGCTCCCCGAACCATACCCCATATCCGTCTTACACCTGCTATTCTTGATAGCGATAATAGTTTATTACAATTTACCGAGAGTACATTTTGCCATAATATAGCACTCGGTGAACAATTAGACCATGAGTTAATGAATGCTCTTTATTCTAATAATTATAATACTATTGATGAAAATGATGATGAGGAAATTGATTTTGATGAAACTCAACCGGATGATGATACACCCACTAGTCCTGCTCCGATGTTAACCCAACTAGTGATAACCCTGCTAATCCAAATGATGCCCCATCTGATACTTCTGTTACTGCCCCTCCTTTTTCTAGACAACCTACCAAACGGACGAAAATATCTCCTGTTTGGCCATTTATTACTCAACTAGTTCCAAAAAATAAGGCTAAGTGTAAAACTTGTGGTACAGAGTTAGCTTTTAAATATTTTGGATCGGGGGNCCAGGAATTAACACTGTTACTGGTGATATTTTATATTATGATCCAAAAAAAGATCGGGAAGAATTGGCAAAAATGGTAACTTTTATGTGCTTACCCTATAGTTTTCCTTCTGACCCTTCGTTTGTGCATTATATTAGAAATTTTTTTAATCCTACTTATAAAGGTTTTCCTCACACAACGGTAAAGAGCGATATTTATAAATATAAGCATGAATATGAACAATATTTGCGCTATTTATTTACTCATAAATTGTCGTGTTGCTATTACAACTGATATTGGTAGAAGTGGCAATGACTGTGATTACCTAACTCTTCCCAGTCATTGGATTGATGAGGATTGGATAATGCAAAAGCTCATAATTGCTTATAGAATAATTAATTCACGTCATACAGGGCAGTTTATTGCTAACACAGTTACAGATATTTGCAGATATTTTTGCATTAGTGATAAAATAATGTCGGTTTCAATGGATAATAGTTTCTTTTTCTTCTCAATGGTGGTATTAGCACCTTGTTGTGCTCATTCCATAGGGGGAGGAAGACTAAGAAAGATATTGCCATGTTTTTTTAATGCTATAATAAAATTACAAGGCATTGCTTTGAATATCTCTTTACAATATTTTTGTCTTTAAATTTGAATTAAATATTTAGGTCACAATTCTATAATAAAATTTACAAGGCATTGCCTTAGATATTTTTTTAACATCTTTTTATCTCTAATTTCTATTTAATTTTAAAAAAAAAATATTTAGCCGTTGGGCCCACTTATCCCACTTAGCCCGCGGGCTCGGCCCGTTTAGCCCGGGACCATGAGTTTGTGGGTCCGGTACCGGGCCGGTTCCTACAAAAAGACCGTTTAGCCCGGGAAAATATGTTTTTAGGAAAATATTCTTTTATGCTACTCTCCTCACCCCCTTTCCCCAAGTCCCCATGTTTCCTTGCTCCCCCCTCCCCTNTGTTTTCCCTTCTCTTGATAGGGAAAACATTTTTCGCCAATTGGAGGAAAATGAGTTCATGAGGAAAATATTTTTTTGGAAAACATTTTCCTTCATACCAAACACACCCTAGATCTCATCATATTTTACTTGGAAATAGAAGAATGTCAGAAAGTCACTTAAGTCGTTATGTAACTATCTGCAGAATATCTCAAACATAAATTTAGTTGCCTTAAATGGCTAACAACTAAAGATTAAGGTATTTAATGATAACACTATCAATGGATAAATTTAGTAATGCTCCTTTTTCTTTTTAGATGTGATAGACGTGTGGTACAGTTGATCCAAGTAGTCATGTCCGCTAGTGTTTTATGTGACTGAATGCAGCATGGTAATTCATGTCCATCACATAAATGTCAAACATATTTAGCCTCACAAATAACCAACATGAAGTCCGGTAGCTTTACATTTATACTTGATAAAAAAATAGCTTTACATTTATAAGTTGTTTCACGTCAATTCTTTCTTTTCTTTTTTTATTGTTTTCCCAGCCATATTCCTATTTTAGGGACATATGTTACCTACAATTTTTTAAGCAATACAAGAAATACTTTGGTGTCAATTTCCTGGATAACTTATCCTAAATGAGAATTTGTGTATTTGAGAAGAGAGGAGATATTATCTATCTAAATGTAGTGAAGAAGACTGTGGTGCTGTCTGTTAACGCTCTTGTCAGACACCTCTGCTGACCAACTGTTACGGGTGCTTTGCTCTAATAGCTTTCGATGAAAACAATTAGCTTGGTTTGCCTTGCCCACTGAAATGATAAATAACTTTTCTTTACTCGAGTAAAATATTCATTAATACTGCTCATGTAAAAGATTCTTACTGCTTGGCTTGTACAATGCTATATGATTGATTTTTTCTGAGCTCTATCATCTAGGAAGTTGGTAAATTCATTTTTTAATTTCACATTTTGTTTTTGTATGCATTTCTTTGGAGTTGTACTGATCTTATTATGACTCTCCGCATATGGTTTTGAGATTTTAGGCTGAAGAAGTATCGAATGCTTTTGTACTTTTTGAATTCCGAGATCTTATACTCTTCGATGGATATAGGTTCTCCTTAATGGATGGCTTCGAATTTATAGACGCCAGCGAAGAGAGCAAGAGTTGGTATGAATTTTCCACTTAGCTCTTACATATGATGCTTCTGGACATGCCTGATGCTATATGCGAATTTTCTCCAATGCAGATGCAATATGAAGTAATCGAGGAAATTATATATGGACTGGAATCTGGCATTTTGTTTGGGTAACTACTACAGGGTTCTCAAAGTTTTACTTATCTCTTGTACTTATCTTTTGCTTGTCTGACATTAACCTACATTACTGCAGCAGGCCATAAAATGCAGAAGCCTCATACACCAGATTGCCCTTTAAAGACAGTCACATCTTTATTCAGAAATTTGTGTCAATTGTTGCATGTTAGATGAGAGTAGACTTGTGAAATTGGACTAGTGCCAGACCCCTTTTATCATTGTAAAGTCTATGAATCAGAATAAGTAGACTTGTATTAGATACTGTTTGTCATTTTAAAATCCCGTAAGGCAGAATTCTCAACATCTCCTTTTGTTGCTTGTGTAGTTTTGTTTTAAGCTTGCTTTGCTAGTAACAACTATTGCAATCATGTTAATAGACTTGTATGCTTGGTTGCTTTGAGATAATTCCATTTTATCTCGATATAGTAATGCTTGCCAAAGTCATCTTTTTCTTATGTCAAGTGTTGGTAAGTTATTTAGATGTGGATAATGACTCAATAATATGGTTACAGGATTTCAGCCGTGATATCAAAGATGGGATTTTTATTCTTGGAGCAGGGATTTTCCAAGTTATTGGTGCCCATTTGCATTTCAATAAGCATTTGCTGTAGTGCTTCTGGTTTTGTTTGTCAGGTACTTCTTGTGATTAACATTATTTATATCTGCTATTACCACTTACAAGTAATACTGATATCACGAATCCAAGCCAAGTAATCATGAACAAGTGCTTTCTTCTCTTGTCTGGTTTTGGTCTAAGTTGCTCGGACTCTTCACTTTCGGTGTTGCATCCGTGTCGACATGACATGGGTGTGGGTGCGGGATCCATACCGAATCTGGTCAACTGATTTTAGGTACTTTGACAAAATCGACGGAGAAATTCTGGACAGATATAACGATTTTTGAAAAGCTAGGGTGATATTGAAGAAAATGGAATACCTTGTATAAAGAAATTTCTATGTCAGTCCTTTTCCTTTTATCTTCTTCTGAGATTCTCCTCTTGATCAATATTTTCTCCTTTTCGGAATACCTTGTAAGGTTTTCACCTAATGTCTCATAATTCAGACATATTTTTATAACTCTATTTTTAAATATTTGAATTATTTTTAGTCGAATCCCATCATCTGTTTCTGTACTTGGATCCTTACCCCCCTAATCATAAAATTCAGATCATGAAGGATTCGACCTCTAGATCCGGACCCGTATCGAACACCTGCACCCAAGTCCGAGCAAATTAGGTCTTGGTTAACATTATGTTAACTAGCAAAGATAGATGAGGCCACGAAACGACCATAATCTAACTATCATTTGTTTGCCTTAAAGGAAAAACTATTTATACCCTCTGCCTTATTTATGAACAGCTTTTATTAAGTGCTTCTATTCTTCCAACAGACACGTGGCTTGAAGCATGGAAGGGCAATTGTAGTGTCCACATGTGCGGCTGTTGCATCAATTGTAACTGGTGTACTTGCTGGTATGCTTGCTTTGGGTGAACGATTGCCTTCAGCACCAACATCTCGTCTCTGGCTTTTGCTTGGATGGTACATATGACATCTTTCATTTCTTTGCTTTTCCCATCTGTTTTGCTTGTCAAGCTTCTTTAGTACATTTACAAGAGAGTCATGCCCTCTATGTCTTTCACCTCCTCTTCCATGAGAAATGTTCTTTTAACTGGACTTCTTTGTCAGTTTAATACGAGGACTCTTATTTATTTTTTAACGTGCTTGTGCATCTTTATGACAGCTTTTTCTTGATACTGGAATGACATGTGGGTTTCAAAAACTCTGTGATCCCATCTTTATGATGCTACATATTAGTCCCTTCATTTCAAATCTGAATGTCTTGTTTCACCTTAAATTGTTATTAGGATGTAAGTTTCAGTGAAAAACAAAAGTGCATTTTCTTGTGGTCCAGGACATATGAACCTAATATTACTGTTTAAATCTTTTAAGAATTAAGTAGGAGAATATTCACACTTTTGAAATAGTGAATGTGGGTCAGCTGTATCTTTTAATGACACAAAATGTGATTGTAAGTTGTTTATCTGAGAAGTTGTATATTGTTCTATTGGTATGCGTGGTCCATAATGGGAACCTGGGGTTATTAGTTCGTCGTTTTGCTCTGCTTAGCACATTATTGTAAGTACAATCAGATTCTTAGCTGTCAGTAGATGTTTTCAAACAAGTACACAGCAGTTCACCATGTCAAATTTAAAATGTTTCAGCTTTTGTATTTGTGGTTTAACTTAAAATATGGCTGTGATATATATATATGCCTTAGTCATCTTCCTGGATTTCTGCATTTATGAGGGAACTGGAAGTCTTTTTGCTATTCATAAATGGACATTCTTGTGCAATTGATGAAATTTCATTTACTTATCATCAATAAAACAAAAAAACTGTACACTTTTAGATTTTCTGTACAGGATGTGCATCATTCTTGGTGTGATTCTGCTGGTTGCTTCAACACGACTGATGCGAAGCCTTCCACGGTCTTGGAGACGTGTTCTAAGAAGTGGGGTTGACAAAAACTTGGGAGTAAGGCAATCTGTGCAAAGCCGGAGTAGAGATACTAGTCCTAGCGCTGTTATCCAGGCATCAACTTTACATCATTTGATAGCAACTCCATCTAAAGCAAAGGCTTGACTTGTCTCGTTGAGGAAAAAAAGATAACGCAAAAGTTGGACTTTGCTAAAGGTTCTTGTAAATGTAACTTGAGGGCTGCTGTTAGTAAACACATTGTATCTGGTGTGTGCAGTACAGTGTTGAGCCCTAGTGCAGGTTGTTTGAGGATGATGATTCATTCCATTTATACATGAGAGTCTAGCACATACTACAATGACAATCTTAATGTTCTCTTTAGACACACCTCGTGTGTGATTTTGTAAACATGGTGACTAGTGATAAATCTTATTTTGTAACTAATTGATATGGTTGTCTCCGTTTTACTATGATAAGGCCAATGTGCTGTTATCATTCAATTCATATAAACAGTGCATCTGATATTTTTTTCTCTTTTGTTTTTGGCCAGTGGCCGCAAGGGTAGGTTAGTATAAGCGATCTAACTTACAATCACGGCTTATATAGACTTCTACAAGATCAATGCAATTCAATCTGTTTTTGAAGGTTAGTCATTTTAACGAGTTATTAATATCATTTATTATGAGTTAATTATTTTTATGTATGTTTTAAGTCACCTGATTGTTAATAGTATAAAAACCATATATGCATATGAGTTAAACCCTAGTATATAAATTACTTACTACTCCTCCCTCCGTTTCAATTTAGATGAGTTAATTTGACTCGGCACGTAGTTTAAGAAAAAATAAACTTGAAATTTGTGGTTTTAAAAGCTTAAGGGGTAAAAGCTTTGTGGGGCCATGACATTTGTGTGGTTATAAAAACTTCTCATTAAGGGTAAAATGAAAAGTTTAAAGTTGAATTATTTCCAAATTTAGAAATGTGTCATTTATTTTGAAACAGACTAAAAAGGAAAGTACATCAGCTAATTTGAAACAGAGGAAGTATTTAATAAGCGATAATAGCATATTTTTATCGTCCTCACAAGGGCATTTAGGGAATATGCAGAGTTGGCCAATTCTATGAGGCTTTTTTATTTTTTAGACAAGTGGCTTTTTTAGGGGTGGGCGTTCGGGCAATTCGGATTGGATATGAAAATTTCGGTTTGGATTTTCGATTTTCGGATTGAAGAAATGACAATCCAAATCAAATCCATATAAACTCGGATTGGATCGGATTTTTTAAGTTTGGATTCAGATTAATCGGTTTGGATATTTTGGATTTTCGATTTTGAGCTTATAAGTTGAGATGCTTCTTCTTCTACGATAATGAACATCCAAATGAAGTATTCATGTTAAATTGCTTAAAAAGTTCCTCATTTCACCGCAGTCATCCAAATAAAGCATTCAAGTAATGAAAAGGAAATACAACAAAGACATTAGTAAGTGCCGATAAGTAGTAGCAATAGTAAAATCATGTCCAAATAGAAAGTATTATGATAGTAACTTAGTAATTAGTATTGAATATATGAGATTATGTATAATGGTTAGGATATTGGACTTGTTACTATTGGCATATGAATAATGGACTAAATATAAAATATAAAAATTTTGAATTTTCGGATATCCAAAAATCTGAAGTACCAAATCCAATATCCAATCCGAAATCCAATCCATAATACGAAAATCCAAACCAAAAATCCAAACAATTCGGATTTCGGTTAGAATTTCGGGTTTGCCCAAACTATGCCACCTCTAGCTTTTTTGGGTCCCAGTTGCAAACACTCCTTTATTTTCTTACGGAAAAAGCGTAAGTACATAAATAATATAATAATATTTACATACTCTTAGCAGGTAAATGCAATTAATATTTTATGGCAGATTAAGAGTGTTCTATGGTAAAACAAATTGCTATTTAAACTTAGGAAGCTACCAGCTATGTCCCTTTAAAAGTAGCTTATTATAAAAATTGGCCAATTCATTAAATATTTCTAAATCTTAGCTAACTGTTACCAATATTAGCCAATTAGCTATAGCCAAAAAGGTCATATTTTTTTCTTTCTTTTGAGTAGGTGTTATTAGAAAAGATTGGGTACATCTTAAGGAATTTGAATATCAGTTTTGGGATGATTTGGCGAAATTTGAGGTGGTTTGAATTGAAAAAATTCGAAATAGAAGATGAAACCTGAAAACAATGATACGTGTATCACACTGTGTATCATTTATGTATCACTTGTGTATCATATTTGTATTAAATATGTATTGATAGCATCAAAGACAAGGATACAGTTTTGGAAGCTCCAAGAAGGCGATTTACAAGATCTCAAGCTAAAAAATTACAGACTAAGGTTCCTGGACTTCAACGGCAAATAAATAAGCTTTTAACTGTAAAGGAAGAGCTCAAGCCCAAAGGAGATGAATTATCCAAGTTTTATAATTATTTGGTGGCACAAATTGAAGTCCAAGAAGAGGAAGAAATCAGCCGTTGAAGTCCACCAAAAGGGCACCCAGAAGAGCTTAAAATGAGCTTAAAAGAGGCCCAAAAGGCAAATGGAGTTCAAACTAATGACCCAAACTAGTAGTTTTAAGGCCCAAATCTGCCCAAAGAGATTTGGCCGCCCACCCTCTTATTTTTATTAGTTTTTATTAGGTTTTCTAGTATTTAGCTTAGCCTCCAAGTTAGGGTTTGCCTTGGCAGCCACCCTACCTAGTTTTAAGGACTTTTTACTCCTATAAATAGGAGTTCTTTTCATTNGTAGTTTTAAGGCCCAAATCTGCCCAAAGAGATTTGGCCGCCCACCCTCTTATTTTTATTAGTTTTTATTAGGTTTTCTAGTATTTAGCTTAGCCTCCAAGTTAGGGTTTGCCTTGGCAGCCACCCTACCTAGATTTAAGGGCTTTTTACTCCCATAAATATGAGTTCTTTTCATTCATTGTGGGAATTCATTATTGATTTTTGAGAGTTCTTTTGAACCTTTGTTACTTATGCTTTGAGATTTATCTTTTAACCTTTACTAGTTCATAGTTTAAGGTAGCAAGATAACTTCTTTATTGTGATATCATTGATTCCTTTGTGGTATTCTTAGAAGGCGATTAATACTAGTTATTAATTGTAGTCTCAAGTTACTCGTAAAACGGTCAAGATTCGAATCAATTATTTTGATTTGTTCTTAAGTAAGGGCGTTTGATTTCTTCAATAAATCAAAACGTTGTTGCTTGGATCTTGTCAAGGCTATAGAACTTACGTTCTTGGAATTCTTTCCCTGAATTTTCTCTTATCCTTTATTTTCTGTACTTTAATTCTAGTCGTTCAATTCTTTATTGTTATTGCTTCCGCATTTACTTCTCAAATTCTTACTCTAGTTTGGATTCCCGACCTTGTTGTTATCAAGTGGTATCAGAGCGGTTCTATCAAGATTTCGTTCTTGATAATTCTTTGGATTTCTTGAATACTAAGAGCAAAAAAAAATACACATATTGTAGCATCGTGAATAGTAACTTATAAAAAGTTTTAAAAAAAACAATATAAAAAATAAAAATCAGTTTAAAAAAAAAAAAGAATTGCTTGCTCTCCAAGAAATTTCTTTTTTATTTAATTTGTTTCCAAAAACTAATAAAGGAAACAAGAAGAGGGGATCCTAGATTTCAAAGATAAGAAAAAGATTCAATTTTTCTTACTCTTTTTATCTAAATATATAATCATTTCCTTTTTATTCGTGTCTTGTTTCAACCGAGCCTACTAGTTCTAGGATTTGGTTCTTCTTTAATTCGTTCCCCAAAAATTTATATTTTACTACTAAGAACTTCATACGAGTTGGGTTTAACTATAAATTTATAAAGTATTTCGTTCAAAGGTTATTTCGAGAGGAAAAAAGGCAAGTGTGTGTGAGAACAATTGAGGAAAAAGCCAATTTGTGTGATACAGTTTAATTATTTTATTTAAGATTGCCAAAAACTTGTTGCGACCAAACACACTCACGCAAGTATACGCGGTCGTCGAGTAATAAAGTGACTAAAAGTCGGATGTCGAACCCACGAGGACTTATGATTAACTATTAACTAAATTAGACTATCCTAATTATCTAAACAAGAATTAAATCTAAAAATATTTTNGTACAGATAGTGATGATGAGCGAAGGGTTCTCCAAGAAGCCGAAATCAAAGCAAGAAATGATTTTACCTTGCAAGCTATGCATCAACAATTCGAAAGGTAGAATTTGTAATTCCAAGAAATGAGGGACACCATTGCTGAGCAAAATGATACAATAGCTGAACTTAGGAGGGGAAATAATGTTAGGCCCCAAGCTAGGAGAAATGTACCCCTTTCTCCCATTGTAAATCAAGAAAACCCTATAGATGATTTTAATGATATTGATTTTGATAGGGTGAGAAGAGATAGGAGGGGACAAAGATATAGAGTAGAAGATGACAATATAAGTAGTATAAAGATGAAGATGCCATCTTTCAAGGGAACAAGGGATCCATACTTGTACCTTGATTGGGTGATAAAGGTTGAAGCCATCTTTGACTGTCATAATTACTCTGAAGGTAAGAAGGTTAAACTTGTTGTTGTTGAGTTTTCTGACTATGCTGCTATTTGGTGGAAAAAGCTTACTAGGGATAGATTGCAAGAAGGACAAGCACCAATTGCTCCTTGGGCTGAGATGAAGAGAGTGATGAGGAAGAGATTTGTGCCATCACACTTTCAAAGAGAGCTACAACAACGTCTTCAAACATTGAAGCAAGGGTCCATGTCTGTAGATGAATACTTTAAGGCTATGGATATATTTATGATCCAAGCTAATTGTATGGAGGAATAAGAGGCTACAATGGCTAGGTTTTAAATGGTTTAAATAAGAAAATAACTGATGTAGTAGAATTACAACAATATGTAACAATAGATGAGTTAGTTGATTTGTCTGTAAAGGTAGAAAAGCAAAATAAAATAAAGCAAACTAGCTCGTGGAAAGGTTGGCCAAACACCATCTCCAAGAAGCCATGGCCGAATCAAGTGATGTAGAGTTCTTCTAGATCTTAAGAAGATAAGGGTAAAGGCAAATTTGAGAACAAAGAGGGAGATAAAACCTTTAACCCTAAACCTTATGCACATTCTAGTTCTATTCAATATCATAAATGTAAAGGAATGGGACATATGAATGCATGAATGTTCAAGTAGAAGAAACATCATTCTTAGAGAAGATATGGGATATGAGAGTGAAAAGAGTGAGGGAGAAGAAGAAGAGGGAAATGTGAGTGATGAAGACGATATAGAATTGCCTCATACCGGTATGATTTGGGTGGATAGGAAGATTATAAGTGGAGAATACGAGAGTAAAAATGTGAGGAAGAGGAGAGAGGTATGAGTGAAGATGAAGATGAAGTAGAACTACCTTTTAATGATGGCATGATTGG